CTGCATCCGCCACCTCGCTCTGTGCTGCCTGGATGCCCACGAGGGAACACCCACCAGCTGCAGACCAGGCATCCCATTTCCAGGAAACCACCTGCCAGGTTCTGTCTCACCCCCATCCCTGTCGCCACCTAGTCTCTCCACGCACATTCCAGTCATTCCACTCCTGAGGGCACCTCAGGGCCCAGGACAGACTTCTGTTGGGTTTCAGCTCCTTTACCCTCCTGGTCGCATTTCTCTGCGACTCACTGCAGCTGACACACCTTCTCTACAGGAACCGAAGGAAACGCTCATTTGCCAGGAAGGCACCGCGCAAGGGTCCCCTCCCCTCAGGCACTGCAGCGAGCTGAGCCCGAGGCCACTGAACGCCTTCTCTTCATCCCTGTCTCTCTCTCCAGGGGACCCGGCTGGCAGCGCCCACGGCACCCCCCTTCCCCTTCCTCCCCCAACAGCTTGTGCCCCTCACAGCAGCTAGCTGAGCCCGAGGCCACCTCCCTCAGTCCAACCCCTGCGGGACCCTCACACACGCCCTCAGGTGTGTGCGCAGCTGTGGAGTTAGTTACTCTATCAAGGGCTCCCTTCCTCTGCGAGTGCATTGTTCTTAAACAAAACCTAGCCCTGGCTCTGGTCGATTCTGTGGGAAGCACACTGTGTCCTGGTGGGAAAGCGACAGGCTCGGCCCCCGGGCTGCTTCCTGTCACACACAATGACCATCTTAGAAAGAGATTAAGGTTCCACCCACCACAGAGCCCTCTACTTCCTCATCCGTGCAGTCCAGGGGTAAGCCCGGGGTGTCAGGGTGCGGTGCTCGGGGAGCACTGCAGGAGGAATAGGAGCTACGGGGAAAGAATGAAGGGGCCACGAGGAAGAGGCAGGGGCCTGCTCCGGGGGCACACGGCCTGACGTCACCCGGCAGCCGACGTTCAGAGTGACCAGCACAAATGATGACAAAAAGCACCCAGACAAAAAAATAAAGACGCAGCCGATACTGAATATTCTACAGAAAAGTAATGGATGGAAGAATGTAAAATTGCATCAGTGCAACGCAGGTACTTCTGTTACCCAATCACCAGTAAAGCACAGACCAATTTCATGTTGCACGTTCTGGGCCTCACTGAAAACCAATTCTGAGCAAGTTCACCGTGCACATCGAGGCAGCCAGTCGGGGCTTGGGAGAGGAGTGTGATGTTCCCGTCAGAAGGATTACAATCCTCGAAACAACAGTACGAATGCTCCCTCCAACCTAGAAACAGACATTTTCTCCTAAGAACCCTCCCTCTTCTCCACCTGCGGGAAGGAGCGCCTGTGGCTCCCGGGCGCTACTGTAGAGGAAGGCGGGATGTTGCCACAATGAGCACCCCCAGCCCCCCAGTCTGCTACGAGGCTTTACACAGTGTTTGTGTTCAAACCCCAGGCTGCTTTTTTCCTCAAAGACAGGCAGCTTTACAACTGTCCCCCAAAACAAAACGCCCTCGTGATAGAGAAAAACCGCATCATCCCTCAATGTACTTGAAGTCCGAGCTTGGGAAGGACAAGTCCCTGGGATCAGAGCCACTGGCAGCAAGTCCCATCTGGAGGAACACATCTAACGGCTACACCGTCATCGCTATGGCGTGACTCACGACCACCCCGACCGAAAGGACCTCAGCCAGGAGCTCTGCAGCCTGACCCCAGGCCGCGCTGCTGGCCGCCCACGTCTCAGTACTTCCAGGTCAAAGAAAGTGTGTGGAGGTGAGATCCGTGCATTTATGATTCTATACCCAAAACACATTAACGTCTACCTTTAATTTATACTCCACTTTCTGACATTTTTACTTAAAAGACAGTCTGTTAACGAGCACATTGTCCCTAAGAAACCTCTGTCCTCTGGGGCCTCGTTGCGGTGGATCACCACCAGAGCGCTCGCCTCTGACGTTCCTGCGCGCCTCTGGCACCCGCCTAACCCGGGCAGCCCGCCCGCAGCCACCGCCGGGCGGAGGGGGAGGACACAGCCACTCTCCGGTCCACGGGCACGGGAGGGGGAGTCGCCCTCCACAGGCCGGGCCTCCGACACCTACGAAAAGCAGTCTGTTACCAGGGGCTGCGCGGCCGGTAGCGTTGCTGCTGCAGCTCTCAGAGGCAGAGACGAAGCAGGACCCGGGCAAGTGGGGCAGCTCATGGCCCTTTCAGGTTTTTCCGGGCAACTGTTTCATGTTCCACACACACGGTGGGCATGACATGAACACTGTCCTAACTCCTGGGGGAGGTGCCTGCCTGCCTTCCGCCCTTCGGCTCTGAGCTCTGGGCCAGTTCCCACTCCCAGGTCCCTCCACCTCATCCCTCTGAAACCTCATCCCTCTGAAGGGGCAGCTCTCGAGGCGGCTCCCTGCCCGCTCCTGCTTGAAGCCTTTGTATTTAAGTCACCCCTCGCGTGCCTGATGCTTGAGGTGCCCGTTCCCACAGCCGCACGAAGACCCGACAGGACAGCCCGGGAGAGAGGGTCTCGTTGGGTCATCCCAGAGGAACCGGCAGAGCCCTGATGTCTCTGAACGGGGAAGGGGTGTCAGCGAGGGCACCATTCACCTGGCAACAGGACGAAGCTGGGACTGGCCACGGAGAGCCCGTCAGCCACGTGAACGTGTCATCAAGGCACGGTCCCTAGCAGCCGAGTTTACGAGCAGGAGTCTTTGTGGGGCAGAAAGAGCACAACAGGACCCAGAAAACCTGGTGAGAATGTTGACTGTGTGTTGGGTGCGTCTCCAAAACACTGGGCCTGCCCATCCTGCCCAGCGCACGGGCGGCCGTGAGGAAGGGGGACCTGCCCACGCATGCTCACTGGGTCTCTCACTGCAGCAACCGGCCGTCACATCTGAGAGCGACGTCCTCACGGGCGACGCCCCACCACTCAACTGCGTTTCTAGTAGTTCAACATCCGAAACCCATTTCTAATGGAACAAGAATGAAATGGATTCCTCTTTGCAAACGTTTCCCAATTACTCATGTATTTGTGACTAATAATACACAAAATCAATTGATGACTAAAACTGAGAAAAGGTCGAAACCATAAACAGTTACATGAAATGAAAGGAGAAAAGCAAAGAAAAACTAAATGTCAGGACAGTCAGAGGCATGCTCTAAGTCACGACTACAGGCTGGTCCAGGCCCCAGGACCGCAGCTACTGGGAACACAAACGCCACTAAAGGAAAAGGGAGTCAGGACAGGAGAGGACCGAGGGAGAGGAACGAGCACATACCAAATCTAGAACAGAGATTGCTGGCACAGCAGTCTGCTGCAGGTGACAGAGGGAAAAAGAGAGGAGGGTGCAAGTTAGGTTCAGCGGTCCCACCACCAGCAAGCCTCGCTCTCCTGCTCCCTGCTCCCGAGGGCCCGTGGGAAGCGAGGGGCTGCGGGCTGAGCTCTGGTTTTCAGAAATTAAACACTGCGATTCATGATTAAGATACACGGTAACTGAAACGGTGGACTTTCCCTCAGCTCTCTTATTTGGAGACTAAGGTCTTAATCTCAATATAAAATCAGTAGTGAATATGCAGACGCCTCTAACTAAAGCATGAGAAATGTTCCCATACTACAATTCACAGAGGCTCAAAACTGACCGGCCTTCAATAAAAAGTCCATCTTTACAGAAATGTGTCATTATTGACCTGCCTGCCGTGTGTCCACTAGGGACAGTGGCCGCCCGAGGGAAACGCCCCAGGCAGGCACATGGAGGCCAGGGTCCCATGCGAACCGTCACCAGTGCCTATCGGATAGCACCGACGGCAGAGTCATTCGGAGGGAGGTTTATACTGATGAGCTGGAAAATGCCAATAGAACGGTGTGCTAGGTGACGTCTAGGCCTTCATTTCGGAAACGTCAGGGTCGTCAGAAGGACTCCACCTGGACTCTGGGCAAAGCTGTCTGCGCATCTGGCGGGGACCTGCATACTGTCAGTGTGGGTGAGGGGGCTAGTCCGCTCCCCGCTGACGTGGCCGGGGTGGGAGTGGCCGTCTCACGAAGCCACGGCTTCAGACCATCTAGTGTGGACAGCACCAAACAAAAGCTGGAATTAGAAACAAAATCCAAAAGACAGAAAGGACAGGCTCTCGCTGTGTCCTCAGAACAGGCCGTGTCGGGAGGAAAACCACTCAGCCCCACAGCCTGAGAGGGTCACTGGCCTCTGCCAACCGACCCCGACCGAGGCCTCTGGTGGGGGTTCCCGCGAGCGGCTAACAAAAAACTTCAGGGTGGCAGTGAGCGATCTAGCCCCTGTGACTGACATGCTCCGCTTCCCTTCTCTGTGATGCAAGAGCCACAAGTGATGTGTGTGCCTGGAGGAACGAATGGAGCCCAGCTCTCGGTGCCTGTTCACTGCCACTGCCATCAGCTCCCTGTGAACGCCTGCTTCAAGCTGTGACCCACGAGGAGCCTGCGGCCGGTGAGGGAGCGAAACCTCGCCCAGGGGCGCCGTGTGTCCTGCTGCCCGCCCCGTGCTGCCCACCTGCGCCCAGGTCGGGGGCTCTCAGCCACGCGCCCACAGAGCCGAGCAGCGAGGCAGGTCTGCGGGCCCACGAAGCCCAGCCGCTCACTCCTGTCTGGGAATAAGGCCGGCCAAGCCCTCGTCAAGTGACTGCTGCTCCCTGACTCTTCACTGAAGTGCTGGAGAAGGACAAGTCTGCTTGTTAACTGCAGTCCCCCTGGGTTGGTTCTGTTCTATTAGGAGGACATGCCTGAGCACTGGTCCATCGCTAGGGGCCTCGCTAGCGTCCTCCCGCCGCCCCACCCCGCCGCGCCCCTTTACCCGGGCTCTGCGCTCGGCCTCCAGCCGCTGCGTGAGCAGCATGGTGTCCACGTCCTCCTCCTCCTCCTCGTCGTCCTCGTCCTTCTCCTGGGACTCCTGCAGCCGCTTCTGGAACTGCCACTCGAGCAGGAGCCGGCGCAGGCGGTCGCTCTCCTCGGCACTGCGCTCGGCCTTGCCCTGCAGCTCCTGGATCTCCCGGCTCAGCATGTCCACGATGTGCAGCTGCTGCTGCTTCTCCAGCTTCTCCTTGGCGTCGCGCTTCCAGGGGTCGGGGGACAGGCTGTCCCCGGAGGACAGCTCCTCCTTGCTGACGGTGATGTACTGCAAGTCCCTGCGCTCGATGGTGCGGGGCTGCTGCTGGGGCTGCAGCTCCCGAATGACCGTCTCCGGGGGCCTCTGCAGCGTGGCCGGCTTCTCCGGCTTCAGCGGCTGCACAGTCACCGGAGAAAAGGGGGCCGGGTTCGGCGGCTGCGGGCGCATCTGGCCCAGCTTCCGCTCCTGCTCCCGGCGCTTCCGCTCCCGCTCCTCCTCCAGCCGTGCCTTCTCCTTCTCGTACCAGCGCTGGTGCTCCTCCCTCTTCTTTCGCTCTGCTGCTGCCACCGCCGCCGCCGCCTGCGCAGACTGAGGTCCCGGCTGGCTGGCAGGGGGCGGGGGGAGAGGCAAATCCATCGGGATCCCGTCAAATTCGCTGGCATAGTGCATGGGAGGCGGAGGTGGCGGTGGGGGCAGGTCCGTGCGGCCAGGCTGGGGGACAGCTGCTGGCGCGGGCTGCCCAGTGGCAGGGGGCTTCCAGCGCCCAGGGCCACTTTTGGTCAGGGTGGATGCAGGCGTGCCCGGCTTGGACGCGTGGTCCAGGTGCTCCTGGCTGGACGCGCTGGAGCCCACCGAGGAGCTCTGGTTTATCCACAGGTCGCTGTCAGACTTGCGGTCCATCACCGCCTCCACTCGGTGGTGCTCCAGGTGATAAGCTTTATCTTCCCTAAGTTCCTCTTGGGAACGGGCCACACGCTGGAAAAAGAGAAATGAAAACTGTCAGGTTCCAGCCATTTCTCAGAAGAAATTACTAGACATTCATCAACTTTCTGTCTCAGGGAGATGCTACTGGACCAGTGAGAGTGCAGGGCGCGGCTGAGCCTGCCCGTGCCAGCGGCCGCCACAGGGGCACTGCATCGCTGGCGAAAAAGTGAGGCACAGACACTAGGCACCTCAGTATGGTGGCCGCCCTCCCCCCGGCCCCCAGCACACCCCCTCCTGGGTGTCAGCCAGGGACCTGGCTGCTGGACGAAGGTGTTTAGCTTGATTACGGGAACAGCAACAGACATTCCTCCTCTGCAGTAAAACTCACTGCTCCTGGGAGGGTCAGGTCCCACATGTGGCCTCGCATGGCTTCCGAGTCCCAGCACTGACCCGACCAGCAGCCCTGGCGGCGAACGCAGGAGCGAGGGAGGCGGGGACGCCCCCGGACAGCACAGCCCCTGGGGGTCTGCAGAGCTCACACCTGCCGGGCGCCCACCGCAGGGCGGAGGCCGGTCTGAGGTCATGCCTGAAGCAGCTTAACCAGTGAAATGCCTCCCGCCTTGTCAGTGAGGAGAAATTGAAGTTGCAAACCTGGGAAATAAATGTTTCCTTTCCTTAAAAAACAACCCAACAAAATAAGAACTATCTCTTAAAAAAGCAGAAAAATAAGATGTCACTTGAAATAAAAGCCTGACAGAAAAATGGAACATTGACACCAGCTCAGAAACAGTTTCTTGATACGTGGGCCTGCAGGCCACGCCAGGGCGGGCACCTCTGAGCGACACCGTGGGGGCTGCCTCACCCCCCGTGGCCTCTCTGTGCCGCATCTCGTGGCTCCAAGTCACTGCTTTGCTGTCACGCCCTCAGCCCCGTGCGCCTCCCCCTCCCCTTCCTCCCCGAAGGCCCACCGTGACTCTCAGTCCCTTCCTTACCCACTAAGAAGTACGGGGAGACCTGCCCTCCCGTCTCCTGACCTCCTCTCTGAATTATTGCCCACGTGTGAGCACACGGCAGCTGTACACGTGAGGCTCCGCCACGCCCGCCTGCACCACGGAAATGTGGGGGCCGCCTCACGCACCCCACGCAGGTCTCCCCACGGGCTGACAAGAGGCTCGAGGAAACAGGGTCTAGAACTACTTCTAGTTCGAGAGAACCTTGGAGAGGCCTCGTCCCAGCCACTCCCTGGGCCCAGACTGAGGGGCGGGGGAGTGGGGGGGGACAGGCTGCTGGGGGCACCGCCCGCCTGGGAGAAAGGTGGATGGACCCGGGGACGTGACGAAGCTTGTGAACAGCGTGACCTGTGCTGGGACCACGCTCTGCCCTCAGAAACGGGCCTCCTCACCTTCCTCACACCATCGCCTGTGACAAACCCTCCCTCCGCCTCCTCGTCCTCGGCTCAGCTCAGAGCCCATCTCAGCTCTCAGTAACCCTGACCACGGACCCAAGACAGACACCGCATCCACTGCCCGAGACACACGGTGTCACAGAGCCAGGCAGCGTCTCCAACCTTCCTCACCTCACGGCCCACGAATGAATCGCTGACACGCGGTGGCACATCAAAACACATTTTCTGCCAACCTGACAGGAAATACCTGTGATTCTGACTCCTTCACACAGGAAGGCTATATGTTGGCTGCTGGAAGGTGGTCAGGCCCTGACCAAATAGCCAGGCACTGCACGTTTTGCAAACTCTTGTGGCTCGCCTGTTGGAAACGCTCGCCTGGACCGCACCTGTTTTGAAGCGTACACTTCACTTCTCCTCCCAGTCATCTCCCAATACAACTGTCTTTCTAAAAAGAAAACCACATCTGAGCACGTTCCCTCACTGAACCACGAGACTGACCGCCCGTTCCCTACTAACCTGGACAGAACCCGAGCTCCTGCACTTGTCGCCTGCGACCTCCCCTGTGGCTCCAGCTGCCTTTGCCCGCCCCTCGCTTCGGGCTCCTGCACCCCGACACCAGCAGTCCCCGCTCCACTCCAGGCTCTGGCCTCCCCCGGAGCAGCCTCGGTTCAGGCGGCCGTCACACCCCGGGGGGGGGGGCGGGTCTGGTCACTCCGACGGAGACAGCTGGAGCCTGGGGGACTGGCTCTCCAGGAGCACGACCCCTGCACTGACTCGGTCTCAGCTTCCCGGCAGGGGCCACGGTGGCCTGGGCATCCCAGTGCTCGGGCAGCTTCCCACGTCAACCAAGCCCCGCCTGCCCCGCAGTCTCACCCCTCACTCCTAGATGCCACACCAGCCCGGCCAACGGGAGACCACACCACGTGACGGCCTCCATGAACCCAACAGCAAGAGAACAAAGAATCCCTTGCGGGCTCCGCCTCCTACCCCGCCCGTCCCCTTTCCTCCACCAGCCACATGGCCAGGAGGAAACAGATGCCGCTGGCAGGGCTGCTGGACAGAAAGGCCCCAGGTCTCAGTGGTGTCTTTACAATGTGGACAGTGTGGCCTGTGCTAGGAGTGGGTCCGTGTGGGGTCGACGAGGGGAGCCGGTGTGAACCCCTCCCTGCTAACCTGCACCGCGAGGCTGGGGTGACTGCCGTCCGTGTGCATGAGCGGCTCCTCCTCGTAAGGGGGCCACTGGCTGTGAGGAGGAGGGGGGGGAGCGGCCCGGTCCTGGGACTTGGAGGCAGGGAAGGTGAAGTACTCCCTGGTGTACGTCTGCGTGGGGATGGGGTAGGCCTCGGGCCGAGGCGGGGTCGTCTGCTCCTGCAAAACGTGAACAAGGACGAGAGGTGAGCTGCACAATCTGCACCGTGGACACATTTACTCCCATAATGACATGATATAGTGTATATGCTAGACAACTGCTCAAGATGAGAAGGGTGTGGCCCTACACTGGCCGAGAGTCCTGGGAACCCCTATGAATTCACACTGAACGTAAGAAAGGAGTCCTAGGCGCTAGAGCACGCTGGTGGGGGTCAGTCCTAGCTCAGGGCGGCTCTGAGGGAGGCCAGGAGCGAGGGGAGTGAGGGGTGGGCTCTGACCTCCGCGCAGAGGTTTCCCGTGGAGACGGACGTTATCTTCGCTGCCGTTCCAGGGGCGTAGGCGCCTTTCCCTCCAGGGCTCGGAGGCTGATCTGCGGGGAGAGTCGGACAGAAAGGTATGAGCACATAAACAAGATGCTGCCTAGCGAGAGCTCCTGGGGGCAGCCCCGTGGCCGCCCTGCACAGAGCTGACCCAGGCCGTGAGGGCTCCTGCCCCAGACCAGGCCGGCACGCGGTCTGACGCGGCTTCTTTCCTTGTGAACCCCCCGTGACAGGTGTTCGCCCCGCCTGGAGAGGCGCTGTCAGTGTGCCTGCCTAGCAGCACCTGAGCCAGGAGTTCCCAACTTAGTGGTCATTTCATTTCAAAAGCGAAGCGAGCAGAGCCGCCTCCTCCGATGGGACCCCGCGTGGGCCTGGCGCGGGCCGGCATGGACCGGGAAGGCCGGTGACTCTTACTTGCCACGTTGGGGCTGGAGCGGTGGTCGGCTCTGTTCTTAAGCAGCCGGTCGTCGCCGGGCAGCTTCTTTGGCTCACTGTACTCTGCCCACGGCAGTGGAGGGCTCTCGGGCGAGCCGTTGGGAGCGGAATTGCTGTAGAGCTCGAAGCCTTCGCTCTTTGGTCGGGGTTTTCCTGAGCCTCGGCGATCTGACACTGAAAGCACAACATGCTCACAGGGCATCCTCTGCTCAGGGGGCACTTTCAATACCCGTTTATTTTTAAAAGAAAGATGAATATACAAATATTCAAAACTCCACAAGTAAAACCTGTCTTTGCGGAAGAAATAAGATGGTTTTTATATAAGGGTAAAATCTTTCTAGAGAACCTCTGCAAGATTTTCAAATAATGTAACACTTAACATTAATGAGAAAAGGTACGCTTTTAAGCTTATTTTCTCATAAACTTGCCTGTTTTAAGTAATGAAACTAAAGTAACAAAATCTGTTTTAAAGTAACTTTTAAAAAACAAAAATAAATGCACTCCCCCCCTTTTTTAAAACATTAATTCTCCTAACCACCCAGGAGGGACATCGTCACAGACACCCTTCGATGAGACTTTCCGTCTTTATTTTCAGGTTTGCCAGCTTCTTGACCGTGACCTGATGTATTGCCTACTTCTCAGCTTCCCCTCTGATTTCTAACTCTGCCTGCTGTGCTTCTGTGAAATGACTGTGAACTGAGAAAGCAGACCCCACGATGTCCAGGATCATGTGATGAGAGGAGTAAACATGCTGAGGCCTGGGGTCTGGTCTGGTCCAGCGCATGGTTTCAGACTCTTTTTGTTCCCGTGGAACGGCAGGTCCAGACGCTGCCGCGAAGAGAGCCGGCCCGGCAGGCGTGCGGCCACGCAGTGAGCACGGCAGGTCTGACTCAGGTAAAGCTCACAGGAACTGAACGCACAATGTGAGCCAACTGTTTTCTCCTGTGATTTTTGAACCAACTCCTTTTATAAAGACCTAAACTTGCATTTTTATTCTGAGATGCTTGATGTAGCTACAAAACCATGATCTCCACCAACCAATTACTTATCCAGACACCTGAGCTCTTCTACACCTGACAACACTGTGTCCTGTGTCGGCGCGCAGCACGGGAGTCGCCGCCCACGCACAGGCACTCCTGAAGGGAGGCCTGCCTGCTCTCTGAGACCACAGCCTGCATCTGCCCGCAGAGCTGAGCCCCGCCCATCGCTCACACTGACAGGCCTCCCGGGGGCCTGGGAGGGTGGCAGGGCTCAGAGGGGATGGAGCCCGACGAGCTACACGGTGGCTCCCAGGTCCACGTCGGAATCCTGGCTCCCGCAAGGCCCATCCCGGTCTCCTTCTCTCTAAAACGGGACACTGGAGGGAAGAACAGGTCCTGCCCCTAAGGCGCTTGGCCTGTGGGAAGCTGCCAGCAAGCCTGCTATTGGCCGTCGTCCACAGGAGACACACCCCACCTCCCCGGCGGTGCTTACGCCTCTGCATCATGGGGGACGGCTGGTTGAGCAGGGTAGCGAGGCCGTGATAGATGGCTCCTTGCTTCGCCACCTCCAGTGTCACCACGGAGCTTGTCCTTGTCATGAGCTCTGCTGCCCTAAGGAGAGAGCGCCCGGGGTCAGGAGGAGGCTGCTGCGCAGGGAGTGTCCTGACCCTCCACCCTTCGCAAGGGACCTGCACACCCCGCCTCCTCTTTCCCAGGAGGGAGGCAGGAGCAGAGAGGTCTTAGGGAGCGTCATGAATCTTTCTTAAACTTCAAAAAAACTGCTCCACACTAAAATACGTATTTCTATTTTGCTCACACATGAAGTGTCACGTATATGAATTTTACAATTAAACAGATGAGGGAAGGACACACTTTTTAGCATTCTTTTGCGTCTTCCAATCCCAAATTTAAGGTGAACTATCCCTACAAATGCTAACAATAAGCTTAAAGCAAACACATAGATGATACCTTTCTTGAGAGAGTCCTACCAGACTCCGCCCGTCCACGCTCAGGAGCTGGTCCCCCGCGGCCAGCCGCCCGTCCTGTGCGCACCGAGGCGCCGTGTTGAGAGGGACAGCCAAGGCCGAGGGAGGGAGGGAAGTCAGTGGTAAGTACACTTGCTATTTGTCGGTTTTCAACAGTGTTTCATGTTTATCGTTTGTTAAATATGACATATGGACGTTCACATCTTTAAAGGTTGTACTAACCACATCCGCAGCACCTCCTTTCACAACGGACTTGACGTAGATTCCAAGTTTGTCTTGACCAGCACCCTGAGCAGAAACAAGGGAAGAAACACTGCACTGAAAACAGGAAGGCAATGCCCCGCGAAGCAGAGCAAACACAAAGCATGCACACAGCTACTCCCGAAGTCCTGGTTCTGGCTTCCTCGTGACAAGTAGAACCATACACTATATTAATAAAATTAATGTTCTACTTGGTAACGATAAAGAAACCGATAGGAAAGGTGCCTATTTTATGTTTCCAAATGAAGAAAAGTGACTCCTAAAAATCCAGTCAATTATGACTAAATCAGCTGGCAGGAGACTGACTAGACTGAACCCACAGGTAGAGGCTGGGTACGGACAGCCCCAGGGCACGGGAGCTAAGCCCCTCTCAGGGCAGGCACGGTGACCATTTCATACAAGAGCGACCGCCTCCCATCCTGACCCCGGTCCCTCACACCTTTAAAGTTTAAACAAGACAAGCTTCTCATGGCCACGCAGGGGGCCTGGGAAGGGCCGTACAGAACACACGTCGAGGGCAGGTGCTGGCTGTGAGGAAACACCGCCCGGAACAGGGCCTGCCCCGGAACAGGGCCAGCGTGAGACGCAGACACACACAGCTGCTTCCGGGACCACTGCGGTCCTGCTCGGGTGGCACAGCGGCAAGATGAAGCAGCTCAATGACTCCCGGAGCCACAGGGAGCGCTCCCACGGGACGGCCCGCACATTTCCCAGGCCACCCCCTTCCCGAGGAAAGGCTGTCATGACAGCAAACAGGACGGCATCACCGAAAGCCATGAAGACAGATTCCAACAAGTGACGTCGCTGAAACCATCTTCCTACGATGCTCCAACGACATGGTTTCCATTGAGAACACCCGTTTCCCGTTCGGTCGCCGTGCCGGTTTGGAGCGCGACCAGCCAGCGTGACGGAGGGCCTCCTGCTCTCCTCGGGGCACCAGCACGCAGCCCCTGCTGTGTGAGCCGCACACGTCCAGGATACGCTGCTCTGGAAAGCAGTGTGACCGTCTCCTGAGCACAGCATTCAGCGTGGGGGTGCGGTGCTGCCGATGTCATGCGTGTGCAGTGGCGGGGGGCTGAGTCTATAAAAGTTCCTGTGAGCTCACATCAAGTGCTCCCTCTGCAGCTCCGACCCCAGGGTTTGCGTCTGCTCACCGCCAACACCTGTTTGTCTGCGTTGACAACTCCCCGCCTCCACCCCCCCGCAGACCTGCCCAGTCCCGGACACCAGCTGCCACTAGACACCCTCCCAGTCACGCTCCACTCCCAACAGCATGATAACCAAGTGCAACCTGTGGTCCCTGCCATAAAATTAAAAACAAAAAGCAAAATACAAAACAATTCATTCTGATGCTTGGCACACTTGTACTTTTTGTAAATGTGGAGTTTCACCATAAGAAGTGCACACCAGTCGCAGGCACTTGGCAAAGAGCAGCAGACAGACGTGCTGCCTCCCCTCGCCTGTGCCAAGACTGGGTTTCCTCCCTCCAGGGGCCTAAGACACGCGACGGGAGATCCCTTCTCAAGCACCCCTCCTGCTCCCACGCGTTAACGTGGGTATGCCTGCATCTATCATCTAATGACATTACTTTAGGCAGCACATTCTGTACTTCCACGGGATCTGTGATTAGCGCTAATGCCCCAGCTCAGCGGTTACACGACAGCCTCCTCCCTCCCGCTCCGCACTAAAGGCCACTCGGCCCCGGCTCCGCCCGCACCAAAGGACGAGGACACGGCGCCTGGCTCAGGCGCTCCCGGCTCAGAGGTGCTTCCTCCACGCTGTCCAACGGGAATTCCGGTCGGGGCACTGACAGCACCCCCTTCTCTGTGTCTGCAAATACCACAGGGCACCTCTTCATAGCAAGTCCCCGGGGCCGGGTTTTTAAAAAGGTTCTAGAAGCACCCTTTTCTCTTCTGCTCCCTATTTGACCAACATCAAAGCAATACTTCCTGAACTTCAGAACACGGAAGCAGTCTAGCGCCCCCACCCGCAGCTTCGCTTCCTGCAGTTTCCGGCCCCGTATTCAACCAGACTCAAAATACCACACGGAAAGCCCCAGAACTCGACAATGCAGAGGTTTAAACGTGCACCGTTCTGAGCAGCACAAGGAAACCTCGAGCTGCCTGCTCCACCCACCTGGGACGGGACTCATCTCTGCGGCCAGGTCTCCACGCCACCCACCTCCCATTTCGCAGCTGCCCCTGTCACCACACCGGTTGTAAGAAAGAGACCACATTCACGTGCCTTTCATGACACTATATTGCTCTATTTTACTACCAGTGATGATTGTTAATCTCTTCCTGTGCCTAAATAAACCCAACTTCATCACAGGTATGTGTGCGGGAACGACACAGCCTAGAGAGTCTGGCACTGTGCTCGGCCCGGTTCCCCGGGGGCCCTGGAATGTGCCTTTGAGCAGGCAGGAGCGACCGCACAGGTGTGTAGGTGAATGGGCACTTACCTGCTCTCCGCACAGCACTGCTGTTTGGCAATGTGATACTGTCCTTGTAATTTAGGTAAAAACAATAAGCAAGCTCTCCGTCACTCCCTATTTCTGATATACTTTATAAGATTACTACTAATAAAGAGAAAATCTCATTCACTTGGACAAACTAAAATAACAGAACTCTTTCTTTTCGCATAACACAGCACGTCCCCCAAACATATACACACTCAAACAGGTGGTAGCCTGACTCTGAAAATGAAATGTATTTGGATAAACACTTCCTTTATAATTAATTATTCAGTGTTGTATCCATTTTGGGGGCGACCCTAGAGCATGGTGTAAGGAAATGAGAACACCAGCCTCATACACTGCTGGCCTGCACATACGCGTGTGCTGCCTGTAGCTGGCTCTCGCCCACCAGCTCCCTCAGGAAGAGGTTTGCGCCCAAGCACCGCCAGCCGTGGCTGCCCGGGATCATGACCTTCCCTTGCAGCCACTTCTCTCAGATCAGGAACCTTACACCTGAGGGTAAGTATGAGGCTCGATTGTTTCATAACCACTCTGCGCTTTAGACAACTTAATGCATCACCTTAAACTGAGCAGGATCCCTATTTCAATAACCTAAAATCCTGTAACATTTCTGAGCAGGTAACTTGTCACACTACATGCATGTGGAACTTAATAAGCCAAGTTCAAGATTCAGGTAAAACTGACCTTGTGACCCAGACAGCTGACAGACATTTCAGAAAGTTCTGGCAAAACATGGCCCCTCTCCTCCCAGTGGGGCGGCTGGTCTGCGGAACGCCCTCCCAGCGCGCTGCGACCACCGCCCTGCTGCCCCCCCCACTGGCAGCCACGCTCCCCAACACCACACGTGATCCAGACCATGCTTCGTGTCCCCACGCATGCCTGTGTCCATGTTTTCTTTCTGATGTCATGGGTCTGCCAGATGCTCTCATCACCGATTCCCAGGCTCACCTGCCGCCACCTGCCCACCCACTCACCTTTCCCCCGTCAGACAAGCGCTCCTTTGTCCCCGAACTCGTCCTGCCCTGCTCTCCACGGCCTGTACAGAGGCTCCTCCCAGCAGCTCCCAGAGCCCCTGCCCTATGAGTTTACCAGAAGGTGCTCCCGTCCCTACTTGGCACACAAGCCCTTGTTATGAGGAAGCCCAGAACTGTGCGGGGTGCATTCGTCGGTCAGGAAGCAGCTGCTGTATTCATTAAGTGCGCTGGTAGCACAACACTGATAACACTGCGAAAAGTTAGTTTAAAAAGTTAGAAATTCTAGCCCGGCTGGCGTGGCTCAGTGGTTGAGTGTTGACCTATGAACCAGAAGGTCATGGTCCGATTCCCGGTCAGGGCACAGGCCTGGGTTGTGGGCTCGATCCCCAGTGTGGGGTGTGCAGGAGGCAGCCGATCTGTGATTCTCTCTCATCATTGACATTTCTCTCTCTCTCTCTCTCTCTCTCTTCCTCTCTAAAATCAATAAAAAAAATTTCTTTTAAAGAAAGAAAATTTATTGAAGTAATTCTATTAGTTCCTACTTACATATACACATAATTAAATTTCATTTTATGGTAATCCTACTCCTCTCCTAATTAAGAAAGGAAAACAGGGCCAGAAGCTACACCATTTTGCCACTACATGTCAATGTATCATCTGCCACGAACAAAAGGGCCATGTGAGCTGAGAGCACCAGCCGAACCGATCCGGGAACGCCCAGCAGCAGCTTTCAGACGTCGCTGAGATCATATCAGACGCTGCCCCGTGTGGGAGCCACCAGGCCACCTGTCAGCCTGGATGTGTATCAGCAAGTAAAAGATACGCCCCGATTTCAAAGTCTCAGTGTGGAAAAAGAATCCAAACCAGCTCCTTAATGCACATTCACTCCATGCTGAAACTGGAACATTTTGGACACAATGCGTACCATAAAACATTATAAAATGAATTTCACCGTTTCTTTTTTTTTAAGATGGTAATAGAAACTGCCAGTGACCATGTGGCTCATTTCCATGTCCACGGGCCAGGCCGCACTAAGCTGCAGGCTTGCACACTGCAGGCTGAGCCGTCGGGCGCAGCAGCACAGGACAATGGCGCAGCTGGGGGACAAGCCGCACCACAGGACAGTGCTTTCTGGCACGACACACCCTGACTTCCAAACCCGGGAAGAGAAACCCGTCACTAAAACTGAGAACACAAAACAAAAAACAGACCAAGGCTAAATAATTTTAAGAATTACTTGCCTAAAGGTATCTGAAGTGGGATCTGAAAACCTCGCTGTGTCTTTAGTGCACTGGTTTATAAAATTAAAACCATAAGCATTATTCCTCAGTTAACCAGGGTCTCCGGGAAAGCAGCCCCGCATCGAAAGGCCCAGGAGTTACGAGGTTCTCGCCACAGCTCTGCCCCGGGAGTAAGCCTGGGGTGAGGGTCCGGGCAGGCGCGGGCACTGCCGTGTGGCTGCCCTGCCCACCGCAGACGACAGAGCACAGAACCCAGAACGTTAGCAGGCAGTGCAAACACCTAGGTCCCCATCCTTAAGAAAAGCAACTACAACGAAATAGACGACTCCTACGTGT